CCTCCCCCCCCCCTTTGCTCTCGTCCACTTCTTACCTCACGGCTCTTTAGCAGAATGAGGTAAGGGATGACCGATTGCATTGGCTCCACTTATCAGCGTGGGTGATTCATGGGAACGGAAAGGTGCAGACAGGAGCGGTGGGTGGACTCGGGCTTCCTGCCTTTCTTCTGACTGTGTGCCTTTCTTCCTCCAATCATTAACCCGAGACTGAAACTTTGAAAGAAAACACCACAAGTTTTTAGCTTTTATTCTTAAATGCTCTTTTCCACCTTTGAGAAAAAAAAAAACAATGAAGGATTTTTATTTAAACACAAATGGACCTATGACAGGAAATTAATGGATGAATAGCAATTATTTTGTCTAAATCTTAACAAATTTTCTACAATGTTTATGTTTTTTTTTTTTTAATTTTTAAATTATGTCTTTAATTCCAACCACATGACTCAAACAAAAAAAGCGGTGGGGAGTTGTTTTAGTGGCAGGAGCTCCGAGGAGAGAGAGAGCACTGGAGCTGGAGAGGTTGCCATGGCACTGGAGTCAACTCTCACGGTGTTTATTCTTCTGCTCTGTCTCAGATGGTCTGGCAGCGTTCAGAGCGTTCCTGCGCACAGAGTTCAGCGAGGAAAATCTGGAATTCTGGCTAGCCTGCGAGGAATACAAGAAGATCAAGTCACAGTCCAAGATGGCGTCCAAAGCCAAGAAGATCTTTGCGGAGTACATCGCCATCCAGTCCTGTAAAGAGGTGAGCGTGGACCTAGCTGTCCTGTGTTGGGGGGAGGTGGGGGTTAGAGGGTGTTTGAATGTAAACTAAAACCCCGTCTTCCTTTGACTCCCCCTGGCAGGTCAACCTGGACTCCTACACCAGAGATCACACCAAGGAGAACCTGCAGAATGTGACGCGCTCCTCCTTCGACCTGGCGCAGAGGCGGATATACGGGCTGATGGAAAAGGACTCGTACCCTCGGTTCCTCCGCTCAGAACTCTACATGGACTTAATCAACCAAAAAAAGCCCAGCTCCACGAGCGCTCCAACGTCGTCGTAGGAGACTGAGAGAAAAGACAAGACGGAGGGAGAAGGAGGAGAGGGGAAAGAAAAGAGGAGCAGACTTGAAAAAAACAAACCACACACATGTTGGTGGGAGTGATGTTGTGAGGGTCTTAGTTCTTTTTTATTTTATTTTTTTTTATTTGTCATGATGTGTGTGCGTGTGCGTGTCGTTGGGTCCACTAATATTCGATGACTGATGAGGTTTGTTTATGGCACTGCAAAGGAATGTAGTTTACACAGTTCCCAGGTGAATGGATGAGTGGAAGGCACCGATGGACGGGTGCATGGATGTTCCTGTAAAAATACAGAAGCCCAGGAGCAGAAGCTGGTTACTTGTCTGATCACTGCTGAGTTTTGTTTTTTGTTTTTTTTTTTCATCATCGTTGTATAGAAAATAAAAACACACATGTTTGTGTTCTGAATCAGTTGTACTGGAGAACAGGAGGAGGGTGGACTTTAGTCAGACCTGAAGACAGTCCGGTACTGTTTTGTCCCATTGTCCTCTGTTGTTTTGTCAAGAACTTTACATCGTTACTCCTCTCCTCCGTCACGACCACGTGAAGCCACGTCTTCAGCCGCCGGTACGACTCCACGTCTCACTGCTGGTTTTCCCTTGGAAATCTGCGACGGAGACGGAAACGCTTGACGCCACACGCTCTCACGACGCTTCAATAAACAACTCTCACCGTAACGGTGGAGACGACGAAGACGAATTTACAGCAGGACGCACAGCCAAACGACTTCTCCTACAATGCCGTCGCTCCATTCTGGACCGTGAGGAAGCTTTTCTCAGGACATTGCTTTGAAATGTTTCGCCTCCGCCCAAAAAAACTCCAGCTGTTTTCTGTTGTCCCTTCATGCCGCCCTGTTGTGTCTTTCCGACCTGCACTCCAATAGTTCTACTGAGCAATACTCCACAGGTCACCTGGGTCACAGTCCCACAAAGAACTGCTCCACGTTGTACAAACGTTCATGTATTTATTCTGACATTCATCCGGCCCGGACGCCCTCGCCGCCTCCAAAGCACTCGGCTCAACGCTCGCTCACCTTCCTCCTCCAAACACCAAACATGCACAGAGCTGTCCTGAACTTTTAAGTGCAATATTTTTTTAAAATTTTATTTTATTATTGTTTTGGTTCTGTTCATTTATTCCTGGCATGTGTTGAGTTTTTATGTGGAACACAAACCGCTTAAGCTCTGTATTAACTTTATTTGTTTAAGAAAAAGACGAAAAACTTAGAGCTATATGGTTGACTTACAGTGTAACGAGAGAACTTTCCAGAACCGTTAGTAGTTCAGTAAATTTTAAGTCTAATTGTTTGTGTCGACCCCTCAGCAGCAGGCAGCTGGGGCTGTTGTAAATAGAGTTCTTTAAGAAAATTATGTGATAACACATTTAAAAAATAAAAATAAAAACAAAAAAAATGCTGAAAGGTCTCTGCCGGCGGTGAACGCGGGGCTCGGCTGTATTTCTGTAAATATGAGAGACTCAAAACTATAAGATGACATGATATGTTTAAATAACGTATAGAGGAGCAGGGGCAGGTACAATCTGCTCTTCTTCCTGGTCATACACTGCTTGTAAGGAGTTTTTCTGAAATGCATTTTTATCATTTCCACTGTTTACAATCCAAACTGCATCTCTGGTTATCACAGGTTCCCAAACAGTAGATTCCATTTGGTGTCATCGCTAATGAGTAATAAACCAACCAGCTGATGAAGCGAGCAGAGCTGTGTGTGTGTGTGTTTTTCAACAATGATGTTTCCTCGTCCGCAGGCTGTACATTACACTGTTTAAACAGTCAGATGGGTCACGTCTGCTCAGAACCCAGGAATGTTCAGACACTTCTCAGATTTTATCATAAAGACAAACACCTGAGGGCTAACAACTCCTGTGGTGCAGAGGTTATCGCCGGGTGCTGCACAAAGGCACCGGATTTAAGAAAATGTATTTAGCGCAAAACAAAAGGCCATGTTAATGTGTGCCTAATAATGTAACGGAATGGAAAACATCCAATAATTAGAAGACAAACAGCACAACAAAAAAATAAATAAAAAAAAATGGTAAAAAAAAGGAACAAAAAATTAGCTTCAAACAGATCAGACTATCGAAGACTTTCAATCCAAAAGGGATCAAATATATCTCCATTAAACAAAACGCCTTTAAACTGACAAAGTCAAAACATTAGATAACACAGCAATAACACACACAATAAAACACATTTATTTATGGACCTTTAAAAATGTAAATTTTCTGCATGGTTAACAGAGCCAGAAAGTGAGCAGAGCTTTCACTCGAGCAACACATTTCAGTTGAAAACACTGTCTCCGTCTAAAGGCTGGTGAACGGCTGGTTGAAAAGCTGTTACTTAGTGTTAGATTGCTGCATCGGCAGATACCGACACTGGTATCGGTATCAGGAAATCCTTACAGATTAGAACAGTGTCAATGTTCGCAGACCAAGAAAAAAGTAAATAAATAAAAAACATTTGTGACGGAATTAAAAATAATGTATTTTGTATATAAATATATATATATGAAGAGCCATAAAAGGTATTTTTAGTCGTTTACTGTAGTCGTAGCCCAATGAAACCAGTGGCTCCACGGTCAATTGTTTAATTTGAGATGTTTTGGTCTAAACCTCCGTGAGGTTTACCAAGACTTCTAAGGCGACATCCAGCAATCTTTAATTTTCAATCTCTTCAACAGTCTCTCTTTAAGCGGTGACCCAGCTAGCATGGAAAAGTATCATTTTTCATTTTCCGCCCTGCTGCATCCAAAACATTCAAAAGAAAGCCTTGTTTGCCCACACCCATCGGTGTATTATGACACAACACTGTGGGTGCTCCGTGGAAAAGTACCTGACCTCCGCAGGCTCAGTCTCCTGTTGTCATTGACCAAACAACAACAACAACAAAAGTGTGAAAAGAAATGAAAAGATGGGGCCTTGAGTTTAGGACGAGGCAGCAGGAACTGTTGTTTCAGTGAACATTTTAAAAAGTTCGCAATGAAATAAGTTTGAATTTTTCCTGACATATTCTTTAATTTTTGTGTTTACCTTTAACTGTTAGATTTTTTGCCAAGCTAATATCTGCTTCTCCCTGTTTCTGACTGATTTGAGCGTTTACCTGTTGTTGTTATAGATAGATAGATAGACAGACAGACAGACAGACAGACAGA